TCCTTAATATGGCTTTCTATATTTTATGGGAAATTTTTCAAGTATTAGGAAATACATCTATTGCTACTGATTTCCTAAAAATGAGAGATTTTTTTTAACACATTAATTTATTCATATATATTCTTTCCAGTAATGTTAAAACTATTTCTTAAAATTTGTATTCACACAACTATAAACCATGGAATGCTCTATTGCATAGTAAAACTTTTTCAATAATTTGGTACATTTTTAACCATTAAATATCACTAAAATTGAGACCAAAGTTTATATCACTTAAATTGAAACCAAAGTTTCCAATGATAAAAGCTTGCCTAAAAATGTAAAAGCTCGGATTCCAGCCATTTTTTCTTTTGATCTCACACAGAAACTTTGTTTCAAAGATTTAGTATGCTCAAACTGTATGCATTTGATATTAAAATTCCTTTACTGGTAATCTTAAATCTGATTAAGAGCCAGAAATGTGTACAACCAAAAAGTCCCTTGCCATCAAGTCCATTCTGACTCATGGTGACCCCATGTGTGTCAAGAGTAGAACTGAGCCCCACAGGATTTTCAATGGCTGTAACCTTACGAAAGTAGATAGCCAGGCATTTCTTCTGTGGTGCCACTGGGTGGATTTGAACCCCTAACCTTTCTATTAGTAGCCAAGGGCAAACCATTTGCACCATCCATGGACCTAGAAATGTGTGCAAATACTATGGAAATATCACTAATGATTTTTCTTATTTGAGGTGAGAATGGGAACTCACTTAACCATGCGATTGTTTGAATGAAAAACTCTGCTTACATTTCTCCTGAGTACTGTGTAATATCTAATAGGAGAACTTAATTTCATAAAAAGGAATTCTGTTAAATTTCATTGATGTGTATGTATGTATTACACTAAAATGTCATGAAAGAGCTAAAAAAAAAAAAAATTTTGTATCTAAAACTTCCTTTGTTCCTTTCTCCCAGGTTTGACTTCAGCTTTTCCCATTTACTAGCCATGTATCCTTAGGCAATCGCTTAACATTTCTGAGTTTCATTCCCTCATTGGTAAAATTTTGAGGCAGGACCTAGATAATCTCTAAGATACTCTCCAACTTGAACATTCCATAATTCTATGATATACGATGAGGAACATTTGAAGAAATGGGTTCTGTTTAGCCATGAGAAGAAAAAAAAAACATACTGTTAATGAATGGCTTCAAGTATCTAAGTATGCCTCATTAAAAAGGAATTAACTTTTTTTTTTAACAAAAAAAGTTGTCATGAGTGTTCAGTAGGCATTATTAGCATCTATGTCCCAAGCACTGTGTTTATACAGTTAAAGAGAAGTTTGATTTATCATTTTACAATGAAAAAGAAAAAAATTTAAAAAATCAAACCAGTGTAGAACTGCTAACACCATGACATCTAAGCAGGTGTGGTAAGTTTCTAACTTGTTGTTGTGTGCCCTCTAGTTGATTCGGACTCATAGTGACCTTATAGGAACCCTATAGGACAGAGCAGAGCCCCGGTGGCACAGTGGTTAAAAGCTTGGCTGCTAACTAAAAGGTCTGCAGTTCAAATACACCCATCCCTCCTTGGAAGCCCTATGGGGGCAGTTCTACTCTGTTCCTGTAGGGTCACTATGAGTCATAATCAACTTGACGGCAACAGGTTTGGTTCCTTTTATAGGACAGAGCAGACCTGCCCCATAGGATTTCCAAGGCTGTAATCTTTACGGAAGCAGATTGCCACATCTTTCTTCCCAGGAGCGGCTGGTGTGTTTGAACGGCCGACCTTTGTTAGCAGCTGAGCGCATAACCACTGCACCAGCAGGGCTGTAATCCTCAGTTTTTGGATCTGTAAAATGGGGATAATGAAACCTACTATTCAGTATTTGAGAGTTAATTTATGTAAAATGCTGAATTAATCCTGGCATATAGTAGGAATTCAATAAGTTCCCTCATTTTCCCCTCCCCCCCTCTCTCCACAGCTGTTAAAGTCTGTGTTATCTGAGAGGGCCAAAATGATACACAATTTAAGGATTTTATTTATTAATTAAATAACTTACCAAAAGTAGTACAATAGCAACACAGAACCTAATAGAGTGTCATTTATGCCAGTGTTATTGATGACAGTGATCAAAACAGAGAATGAAGGTACACTGGAGAAAGTTTTTACAGTTTTGGGAATATTATGTAATTTATATGTAAATAGCACCACCAACTACTCAGTTGCCCAAGCCAGAAACCTATCCACCAGCAGACTCATCCCTTTTATTAATTTCCACATTCAATTATTCACTAACCCCTAATGATTCTACCTCTTCAATATTTCTTATTTCATCCACTTCTTTTATCTCCTCTCTCTGAAGATCACCATCATCTCTTACCTGGATTGCCTCTAGAGTCTGCCATTAGCATTTCTTTCCTGGTCCTTTCTCCATAATGCATCCATGCTAAATTTACTTGATGAATGAATAAATGAACATTCTTGTAGTTTTCCAAGATCAGAGGAAGTCATTCTGTGTATAACGCTTATACTGTAATTTGATTTTTGTTTGGCTTGTTTTGACCCTGAAATGAGCAGCCGCTTGTTCTTAAATAGAAAATAGCTTTGTGATTAGTGAAAAATAATTACTTAACCAGCTGAATGAGAAAAGATGAGTCCCTGGGTGGTACAAATGGTTAATTAGCTCAGCTGCTGATTATATTGGAGGTTCGAACTCCTTTCTTGGTGAAGATTCCCAACTGCCAGCAACCAGAATCATAGACCTTCAGATGGAGAAGGGCAGTTTCATTGGCATCTTCTGGGTTTATTGGCAACACTTGGGGACTTGTTACCAGTTGCTGTCAAGCTAATTCGGACTCATGGTGACCGCACATATGTCAGAGTAGAACTGTGTTCCATAAGATTTTCAGCGGCTGATTTTTTGAAGTAGATCGCCAGGCTTCTGAGGCACTTTTGTGTGGATTCAAACCTCCAACCTTTTGGTGAGTAGCTGAGCACATTAACCATTTGCACCACCCAGGAATTCCCAGTGGACTTGTTAGAAATATAAATTATTGGCCAAGATCAACTGATCAGAAATTCTGGGGGTGGAGCCCAGCAATTTATGTTTTAACAAGCTCTCTAGATGATTTTGATGCATGCTCAAGTTTGACAACTACTGACCTGAGTTTAACCCTTTGATTTTTTTTTAAGCTAAGAAAACTAAGGTCCAAAGAGGCTGTCACAAATTAGGAAGAATATTAGAATCTTAGAGTGAGCTGCTTGCCTTCCCAGTGATTCCCAGAATGATGAATCATCCCTCAGGGAAATCTGTTTGTTGGGCTAATTGCTAACCAGTACTTGAAAGGATGCTAGGTGGGAATAAGTGTAGGGAAGGTAAGAGGCTGCCTACTATTTAATCCACTTTGTGGGCTTCTTACAGTTCGACAGCTGTGTTTTTATCCATTGAAAGTCTGAAAGTTTGCTTGATATAATATTTGCTTTATTCACATGATTATTCACGTGTTTTATTACCTGAAACAAGTTTACATGCCACTGAAGTAACTACCCCATTCCACCACTACCCTCTCAATCTAATCAGTCTCCATAGTGTGACCCTGCAGCTTTCATTTTTAACAAGCTCCCCACAGAAAAGCTTAAGGACCACTAACACAAAAGATGTTTATAAAGTGTTTAAGAGTAAAACTAATTGGAACAGAGCAACATTTTCATATACTTTTGTTTGGGTTCCACAGTGAAAACTCATACAATGTGTTAATGTATATATCATAAAGTCAATACAGTAACAGGGATTGCTCCAGAATTTCTGTAATGGTATGGTATTAAAATGATTTTTTTTTTTAGAAAGTATAATATAGTTTCCTCATCATCTGAAAGGACAGATAAAAATCACTGTAGGACGGCCAAGAGAGCAACAGAGCAAGAATAAGAGTGGAAATAAAGGATCCGGTTCTAAACTACAAATGCCTAAAATGGTACACCTGGAGTCAACCTTGACTTTCCACAGTACAAATAAAAGTCACTGGCTTAGTATCTCCGCAGTTGTCAGTAGTTTTAGTTATTAAAGAATAACAATGTGAAGGCCACTTAGATTTAGGAAAAAAAAATATACATATGAGTTGAATATCTGGAGAATAAGAACAGAATGATGTAATAACTGCAAAATCAAAAGTATCTACAATTCTTGTAGCATTTCACCTTTTTCAAGGTGCTTTCACATAAACTTTTATTTTATCCATATAACAGCCCTGTGAGGAAGGAAGTTAGTACCAGCAAAACCGTTTTCAGAATTTGAAGTACTGAATCCACGAAGAAAAAGACAGTGAAGTTGACAGAACCAGAGAAATGAGAGCTCTGGTGGTCAAATAATAAAACCGGCAGTACAGGAGTTTTGGGATTAAGAAACTGGAATTTACTTATCTGTACCAAAAAAGATGAACTTTAAGATGAAGAGAAAAACGAAAACTAAGGCGCTACTTAGAGCTGCATGGAAGTTTTGTGAGCTTTATCCCAGCCCTGACCAGATGTGCTCTCTCACGGAGGGACTCTTCGGCCTCCAATCAGGAGCAGAGAAAGGCCTCGAAAGGTTCCTCAGGCCGAAGACCTCCACAAGGGATTCGGCCCAGGGTGAGAATAACGCCGAAAGTCGCGGAAGACGCCGGCGTTAAGACAGCGGAGCGGGATAGCGCCTACTCGCCCGGCTAACAAAGGCCGCCGAGGGTACTTCCAGGACCGAGGAACTTGCGGGGGGCCGAAGGGTTAATCGCGCACCGAACTCCAGCGCGAATCCCGGCCTCCACCCCCGCCGTCGCTAGGAGACGCCGGAAGTGGAGGAGGGGCAGGCTTTGCGGCTGCGGGTGGGAATCTTTTTCGGGCTCCCGGGGGCGGAGGGAGGGGAGCGCGCGTGCGCGTGCCCGGCCGGCCGTCGCCGTGGTGACCGCTCTCGCGGTCCGTCGGCTCGCGCTCCGCCCCCGTCCACACCGCCCCTTCCCCTGTCGCGCGCGGGGGGTGTTTCTCGCTCCTCCCGGTTGCTGCTGCCGCCGCTGCTCCTCCTCTCCTAGTCTTGGGTTTCCCTGGCACTCCTGCCGCCGCTACTTCTGCGGTCTGTATGAGGTGGAAGAGGAGGATGTGAAGATGGCGGAGCTGCAGATGCTGCTGGAGGAGGAAATCCCGGGGGGCCGCCGGGCCCTCTTCGACAGTTACACGAATCTGGAACGGGTGGCCGATTACTGCGAAAACAACTACATCCAGGTGAGACGCATTCCCCAGCCTAGGCGCGTAAGGCCTCGGGCGGTGAGGAGCGTGCGGAAGACCCCCGGGGAGGGGGCCGCGTTCCTGGGATCGTGGGGGAGCGGGCGGAGGCCGCCGCGGGAGACCCGGCCAGGCTGAGCCCCTGATAGCGGGTGCAGGGTGAAGGCTAGGACTGGGGATGGAGAGTGAGTGGGAATCCTCGGGTAGGAGGAGGAAATTGTAGGTTTAAAACATTTTTGAAAGCGGTGAATCAGTTCTCGGCGCGGTGCGTGTGTCGTATCCCCGCCTCCTTGCTTCTCCTGCCCTCGCCCGCCCGCCCCGGCACAGTGCCGGTCAGTGTTCTGGATGGCAGGGGAAGCGGAGAGTTGCATTTTCTATTTGCCAAAATTCTGCTTCTCCATGTAGGGGGGATGTGGAGGGGAATGATAGGCACCCCCAACCGCCAAGCCCTGGAGGATTTTTAAGGGGCTGTGTTGCTGCAAAGTACTTCGGTTTTATATTCATTTGAATGCTTCAGAAGACCATTTTTCCCCTTTAGGTGTCACGGAGATACGGTAGAAGAGCAGTTGTCTCTTGTTGGAAGTTATCGCTGTTTTTCTCCCTATGGAGAATGGGAAGCTGCGTGATAATGAGCTGTTCTTCCTCCCGCCCCCCGTCCCGTTAGATTGGCAATTTTCCTGAGAGAAAAAGAATTGTGACTGTTTTTCAGAGAGAATTAGGAAAATGAACCTCATGGTTTAATTTTCCCGTGATGGTTGTTTTGGCACGGGGACTCAGTGGTAGCGGTGTGTCTGTGTGTGTACGTATGTATGTATGTGTACGGGAGGGGGAGAGTGGATATTGGATGAGATGAGATCCAGCTGCTCCAGGATAAAGCAAAAGATTCTGGATTTAAGAAAAAAAATTCTTTTAAAAACTGTTTGAAAGAACAGCAGGATAAAACGCACAGTTTACAAATTCAGCATCTTTTGTTTTCTTTATGGTTTATTCTGAATTACAGGTTGTGCCTCCATTTTTTTCCTTCCCGTTTAAATTCTCTTGGGATAAAGGTGGAAATGGAAACAGTGTGTTAAATTGTTTCTTCACTGTGATCTTTTTTTCTTGCTCCCACCTCAGTCTCTCCAGGCATCCTTCTTAACATCAGCTATATTTGGAAGCATTCTTAAGTCTTAGCGTAAATTAAAAAACAAACCAAAAAAAACCCAGGTGTTAAAATTTATAGGTTCGTAAGTTTTGTAGGCAGGACGTGGTTAATGGTGGTATTGTGAGATTTTACTTGATTAGACGTATACCAAACTTTGTATTATATTGTAGGGAATATTTCTGTTGGAGAATGAGCCAGACATAATTCAAGCTTTTTCCCTCCAACGAGGTGGTTGAAAATATGGCTAATAGGAGAAGGAAGAAGGTGTCTTGGGTCAAAGATTAATACAAGAAATATAAATGCCTGTATCTGCAGGGCACTTTACTGAGTGAGGTGGGAGAGATTCAAAGGTTCGGTTTCTCACTTTTTCACTAAGTATATTTGAATGTCTTTGTGCTCAACAGTGTGCCCACCAAGTGCCTAAAAAAGATCTGTTGCCATCTAGTTGATTCACACTCATGACACCCTTATGTATTACAGAGTAGAACTGCTCTATTGGGTTTTCTTGGCTTATAATTTTTACCGAAGCAGATTGCCAGGACTTTTTTTCCCAAACACTGTTGGGTGGGCTCAAAGCACCAACGTTTAGGTTAGTAGTTGAGCACAAACTGCTTGTGCCACCAAGGGACCTTATACCTAGTGCCTACAGAGTTTTATAGTCTAGTTTTTAGGAGAGGCTGATGTGTGAGCAAATTAATACCATACAGTTTTGCGACCCAGTGCGACAGAGTAGAACCGCCCAATAGGCTTTCCAGGGAGCCCTGGTGGATTCGAACTGCGACCTTTTGGTTAGCAGCCTAGCTCTTAACTACTGCACCGGCAGAGCTCCGTTTCGGTTTGGTTTAGTTTGGTGATTTATACTCTTGTAATAGACTGCAGGTGGGAAGAAGAACTGGTGAAAGCAATGCTAGTCTCAGGAATTCACAGTCTCTAGGAAAGGCAAAACCTAAAGGATTGAAGTGGTAATTCCATTGCCTCATGCAACATATTATGGGAAAGAGTCGTAGTCAGAAGAGAAATTGAGGGTGCAACATATTATGAGAAAGAGTTGTAGTCAGAAGAGAAATTGAGGGTGCACCATATTATGGGAAAGAGTTGTAGTCAGAAGAGAAATTGAGGGTGGAAAAGTGATTGGGTGTGGTTATCACCAGTAAGTAATAAAAGAAACAGATTTGTGTCTCTTACAATTGCTACATAAAGGTAAAAGTACATGGATTAATAAAGCCGAAAGATTAAAGGAATCAGTGATTGTCTTCTTTTTATATATTTTATACATTTCTTCTAGCTGAAAAAGAGAACTGTTACTGCCACCATTATCTGTCTTGGCAGTGGGACTCAAAAATTAGTGTGGTGGTGTTTTTAAACTCTGTATAAATATTGATGAGATAGAATTGGATTTGGATTTTTAAAATCTCTTATTTCTACAATTTAGTGTTTGAAGTTGATTTTACACTTTTACTTCTTAGATTATCGTCTATTTTAGGATGCAGTAGGTATATTATTGATGCTGTCTCTCAGGATGCAATGCTTTCTTGGTTTGTTTGTAGTATAGTTGATAAATAGAACATGATGATAGTGGGTTTGTGCTGATCCAGAAGCACATTTTTCTGGCTCCCCTTGTGACCAGAGAACTGACCAGCAATGTTTTTGATGTTTGATGACCCTGCAATAGATGGAAGTTAATTGGTGGGATCAGAGATCCAAATGGTCAATTTAACCTTTTTATAACATCATACCCTAACCAGTAGCCCAAGTTAACTAACCGAACACTTGTTTTATTTTGTGGAAATGTAATTTTTGCCTGTAAAGCAGAAGAAAGAGAGATCTGTTGATCCTTTGTAATAAATGGTAAAGTTTGTTGCTCAGTAAAATTTATGGTAAATCAGAATATTCTCAGTGTGGGTTGTTCAGTGTGAAAAGTGAACAAAGGAAGGAAAATGATTGCGCCGTCCTTTTGAAAACAGTTATATGCTGTTTGAATTATTTGTCTTATAAAAGTACCCTTCAGAAACATCACTGGCTCTGGAAGTCATCAGATATTACCTGTATTAACATACACTAAGTCTGCAGATAGAGCAGGGTTGTAAATAGTAGTTTTCCAGGTTACTAATATAGTTAACATTAGAAAGTTAAAAATCGTCTTTAATAAAAACTTAGATTATTTTGTTTTATTATTTTAACCCCTAAGACATGTGAGTCACAATATTTTTTTTCTAAAATGTGATGGTAAAAAATTATAACCAGATTAACTTTCTTTATTTCTTGCCTGTAAAGAGGACTGAGGAAGGACTTTCTTTGAGTGCATTTAAGACTTGTGTTTCTTTTCTTCATTTATTAATATAAATATACAATGCCTAATATACTAGGAAGTGTCCGGGAATATAAGAAATCTTTTAATTAACTTGGAATCTACATTTTTATGAATAGAGGAATTTTATAATACCGTGGTCCTTTTGGAAACCCTGCTGGTGTAGTGGTTGAGAGTTCAGCTGCTAACCAAAAGGACAGCAGTTCGAATCTACCAGGCATTCCTTGGAAACCCTATGGGGCAGTTCTGTCCTGTAGGTTCGCTATGAGTTGGAATCGATCTGACGGCAGTGGGTTTTTTTTGGTTTTTATGGTCATTTTAGGAGCCCTGGTGGCGCAGTGATTAAGTAGTTGGCTGCTATCCAAAAGGTCAGCAGTTCGAATCCACCAGCCGCTCCTGAAACTCTATGGGGCAGTTCTGTTCTGTCCTATAGGTAGCTAGCTATCAGTCGGAATCAACTCGACAGCAGTAGGAAAAGGTCAGCAGTTCGAATCCACCAGCCGCTCCTGAAACTCTATGGGGCAGTTCTGTTCTGTCCTATAGGTAGCTAGCTATCAGTCGGAATCAACTCGACAGCAGTGGGGTTTTTTTTTTTTTTTATGTTAGATAAAAGAAAATTATTACTTTTTGTGACTGATAATTCACATAGATACATAGTAAAAATCCCATTGTCCATCGTTTGGTTTAGGAGTAAAGTCATCCCATAACATGAATTCTCTCAGAAGAATAGAAATTAAAAATTTACTCTAAAATTTTATTTGACATATTTGTTTTGAACAATAAGAGACAAATCATTAGTAACTTTCCTTTTTCCCTTTATCAACAAATATACTCCCAGAATTCATTAAAAATTGCAGGAAAGGCTTATAAGGGGATCATAGGAAAATGGCCTATTATCAGTCAGTTTCATAAAAAATTATTGAAATGGTATAAAGAGTCAAAAGTTTTATTTAATGAAACCGTTAGAGTAATGTCATTGTTGAAAAATTATTAGAAAATACAGATAAGTATTAAGAAATTAAAAATTGCCCAGTCATCTTGAATATACATCTGGTATTTATACTTTCAGAGCTATATCCCTGTAGCCAGTTGCCATCCAGTAGATTCTGACACATGGCAACCCTGTGTGTTGTGGAGTAGAACTGCACTCTCCAGGGTTTTCAAGGCTGTGACCTTTTGGAAGCAAGTCCCCATTTTCAAAACAAACAAACTAACTAAACCAGTTGTCATGGAGTTGATTCCCACTCGGTGACCTCATGTGTGTCAGAGTGGAACTGTGCTCCAGAGGGTTTTCATGGCTGACCTTTTAGAATCAGATTGTTAGACCTTTTCTTCTGAGGTACCTTTGAGTCGGTTTGAACTGCCAATCTTCCAGTTAGTAGCCCAGCATATAACTGTTTGCTCAACCCAGGAACTCCCTTTATATCCCTATAAACCCATTGCCATGGTCGATTCTGATAGCGACCCTATAGGACAGACTAGAACTGCCACATAGGTTTCCAAGGCTGTAAATCTTTACGGAGACAGACTGCCACATCTTTCTTCCAC